ATCATGTCAATTGCCCTGGCCATCTCCCCATTCCAGAGAGCGACCAAGGCCTCGACATGGTCACCTACCGAGGTGGCGGGAAAATCCCCAAGAGCCATCAGGAATCCATCCGGATCCATAAGCCTCCTGGGGCGGACCAACTTAATGGGTCCTCCACCTCTGCAGAGGTTAGGGGGCGCAGTGAGCTAAATCTGACCAGGAAGTGGTCGGTCCATGGCAACGGAGAGATGGTCAGCTCCTCGACCCCACCACCTCTCCCATCCCTGGCAGAAAACCAAGTCCAATGTGTGTCCAGCACAGTGGGTGGGGCCAGATATTTGTTGGGACAGCCCCATGGTTGCCATGGCAGACATGAAGTCCTGAGCCGCTCCTGTGAGGGTCGCCTCGGCATGGATGTTGAAGTCTCCCAGCACAGAAGCCGTTGAGACTCCAACGCCAGGCTCGAGACTACCCCCGCTAGCTCAGGTAGGGAGACTGTAGTGCAGCGAGGTGACGGTACACTAACAGAATCCCTATTCTGTCCCGGTCACCCACCCTTAGGTGGACGCATTCAAAATTTGGTCTGCGGGATGGGGCACCTGGTCAGATGGATGGAATCTCTATAGACCACTGCGACCCCGCCTCCCCGCCCTCCGATCTCGGTTGGTGCTGCACGGAGAAACCTGGAGGACAAAGCTGGGTCAGATTTACTCCTCCAGCTTCATCCACCCAGGTCTCCGTGATGCACGCCAGATCTGCCCGCTCATCCAGGATTAAATCCTGGATAAAGGTCGTTTTTCCGTTGACAGATCTGGCGTTCAGCAGCACCACCTTCAATCCAGAGGGCCCGCTCACCTGGTTACACCAATTTACCTTAGGAGACCTGTTTGGGGTTGTTAATGTGGATAAACGGTCCGAATTAAGCCGAATTTGAGGTCTCCTTTTTCCGCATCTCCTCCTTCCCACCACGACCTCTATGGGGGCCCCTCGGCTAGTGGAACACCTCCCCTCCTCCGTGCCGCGGTCCATAACCAAGGTCTTAATCTCTATTTCATTAGTTGTTTGTATAGTTGGCGTTTTTTCTTGCCAATTACCTTGATTTTCTTTATCCCCCCTCCCCCCCTCATTGTTCTTCACGGGCTCCAGCCCACTTCCACCCTTGCCCCTTTCACTAGTCAGTAATATCAGGGACAATATACATAGGAGAGTGGGGGACCACATGGGTGAAAACAGTACCCTTCAGTAGGATGGTAGTGATACAGTAGTAAACGTTTAGCCACGAAAATAGGATAATACCTAAAGTGCTAGAATCTTAAAGTGCCTCACAGCATCACACTTTTGACAGCAAACTCTTTGGAGGAAGCATCCCAAAATATTTAAACAGTCTGAAAGTGAATTTTGGTTATGCTTTTGCAACACACAAGGAGGTGGAAATGACCCTCCAACTTTGTATAAGCCCCTAACTGCTACAAGATCAAATATGGAATTACTTATTTAGGCGATCCCTCGTTGCCTGAGTATGATGGCCTTCAAAGTATAGAGTCTTGGTGGTGGATACATAGGTGACTATAGAGCCCTATTCTTCATCCACACATCCTTCCACAGTGAGGACATTGGTTTCCAGGTGGAAGGTGGTCCTGGTCAGGGTTGGCTTGACACGCCTTCCTCTTGGCACGTTTCTTCCTTTTGCCCTCCATTAGTGCCTCTTCGAATTCTGCAGCACTGCTGGTCACAGCTGACCTCCAGTTAGAATGCTCAATGGCCAGGGCTTCCCAGTTCTTGGTGTCTATTCCATAGTTTTTAAAGTTGACTTTAAGCTAATCTTTAAATCTCTTTTCATGTCCACCAACATTCTGTTTTCCATTCTTGAGTTGGGAGTAGAGTAACTACTTTGGGAGACAGTGATTGGGCATTCGGACAACGTGGCCAATCCAGCAGAGTTGATGGCATAGGAGAATTGCTTCAATGCTGGTGGTCTTTGCTTCTTCCAGCACGCTGACATTTGTCGACCTGTCTTCCCAAGAAGGTTGAATGATTTTTCAGAGGCAATACTGATGGAATCGTTCCAGGAGTTGAGTGTAATGTCTGTAGACAGTCCACGTTTCGCAGGCATATAACAGGGTTGGGAGGACAATAGCTTTATTAACAAGCACCTTGGTATCCCTATCTGTATCCCGATCCTCAAACACTCTGTGCTTCATTCAGAAGAATGCTGTACTCGCAGAGCTCAGATGGTGTTGTATTTCAATATCAATGTTGGCTTTTGTGGAGAGGTGGCTGCCAAGGTAGCGGAAATGGTCAACATTTTCTAATGCTACATCATTAAGCTGTATTCCTGGCATTGCAGAGGGATGGACTGGTGACTGCTGGAAGAGCACTTTGGTTTTCTCGATGTTCAATGACAGGCCAAGCTTCTAGTATGCTTCTGCAGAGGTGTTTAGAATGGCTTGTAGGTCTTCTTCTGAATGTGCACAGATTACATTATCATCGGCATATCGAACATAATTTATCTGTAAAGCCGTAAGACCTGGCTTCTAAATTATTTATTGAGAAGAAAAAGCTTACTGGAACTGGAAGGCAGTCATCCCATTCCCAAACAGTACAACACAAATAAAACATTCTTAAAACCAAAGTAAAAGTGTTCAAGTAGGGCGAAGGAAAGTCTTTAAATGTTTTCAAAGCATATTCACAGAAACAATAATCACCGAAACCAATTCAGTGGTACGCAAAAGCCCTTGTAAAGCTTTCTGGGACTGATGGGGTTTGCATTCTGCACACACACACCCAGAACCGTCCCTGTTGCAGTTCTGTATTTCACGAGGAACCTAATTCTAGAGCCCTGGAGCAATGGCGAGGCTGTTGTGAAACCTCTCCCAGTGATTGAGTTTTAGGCAGTGCCGTACCCCACAGACCACAAAAAGTAGGCGTTGTATAAATTCATGTTTATTTAGTACAGAAAAGCTTTCTTGGGTAACTATTCCCATGCCTTGAACTCTTTGTAAAGCTTTAAAAAAGAGCATCTCACACAAATCAGTCTCCCAGAGCAGAAGCTTTGAGACTAACTGCTTTATTTTATTATGAGTTTCACAAAATAGATTGATATCCACAAGAGCATATGTTAAAATGCACTAGTTATATCTCAACAGTACTGCTGCTAAATTCCTTCACTCCTTTTTATTGTTTTGTGCTGAAACAGACTGATATGAAGGTCTCTTTGAGAAGCACTTTGGATTCTTAAAAGCAAGCCTGGAAAACCTGTGGCCCTCCACGTTTTGGGACTTCATCTCCCAGAATTCGTGACTATTGGACAAGCTGGCCAGGGCTACAATTTCTGGGGCTACAAAGAGTGCAGTCTGTTCAGCGCCTTCCAAGTCGCCCAGTTTTCTGTGTGCCCAGGGGGAAGTCTCTCATTGGGTATCAGCCATTGATTGAGGCTCTGGGTTCGAGCCTGCCACTTTTGGACTCTCGCTTGCTGAGGTGTTCCAGCGAGTGTCTCTGTAGATCTGAGAAAACTATTTCTAGATTTAAGTCATTGGCGTGCTGGCTGATGCCCAAACAAGGGGTGAGCTGGAGACATCTCTGCCTTTGTCCTTTCACTATTGGCTACTACTTCCCGGTGGATGTCAGGTGGTGCAATACTGGCTAAGCAGATATTGATCATAATATTGTAATTCAATATAATACTAATAATATGATATAATAATATAATAATTATATTATTTATATTACATGTAATATTACGAATAATATTGCAGTATAGTCGTATAGTACAATATTGTTGTTCATTCGTCCAGTCGTCTCCGACTCTTCGTGACCTCATGCACCAGCCCACGCCAGAGCTCCCTGTCGGCCGTCACCACCCCCAGCTCCTTCAAGTCAGTCCAGTCACTTCAAGGATGCCATCCATCCATCTTGCCCTTGGTCGGCCCCTCTTCCTTTTGCCTTCCACTTTCCCCAGCATAATTGTCTTCTCTAGGCTTTGCTGTCTCCTCATGATGTGGCCAAAGACTTCAACTTTGTCTCTAGTATCCTTCCCTCCAATGAGCAGCCGGGCTTTATTTCCTGGAGGATGGACTGGTTGGATCTTCTCGCAGTCCAAGGCACTCTCAGAACTTTCCTCCAACACCACAGCTCAAAAGCATCTCTCTTCCTTCGCTCAGCCTTCCCTAAGGTCCAGCTCTCACATCCGTAGGTTACTACAGGGAATACCATGGCTTTGACTAGGCGGATCTTTGTTGCCAGTCTGATGTCTCTACTCTTTACTATTTTATCAAGATTGGACATTGCTCTCCTCCCAAGAAGTAAGCGTCTTCTGATTTCCTGGCCACAGTCTGCATCTGCAGTAATCTTTGCGCCTAGAAATACAAAGTCTGTCACGGCCTCCACATTTTCTCCCTCTATTTTCCAGTTGTCAATCATTCTTGTTGCCATAAACTTGGTTTTTTTGATACAATATACAATATAGTAATATATAATACTAATATTGTGCTATGCTAATAATTATAAATATTGCACGTACATATAACTTGTAAGCCACTCTGAGTCCCTTTTGGGGTGAGAAGGGCAGAATATAAATGTCATGTCATGTGAAATATATATGTGTGTGTGTGTGTGTGTGTGTGTGTATAACCTCTAGACTTATACATGGGTATATATAGTAATTTTTATTTGCACAATAACTTTTAATTCTGTGCTGTTGATCACATGAGTTATTGCAGAAGGATCTGCTCTTTGCAAAGAAGCTGTGAAACTCATTTGCCTGCAGCACGGTAGAGAAGAATCATCCCCAATAAAACAGCTATAACTGTTGCTGAATCAACTTGCCAAAGATGGCAATCATTAAGGCTTGCCGCCTTCTCATACAGAAAAAAAGGGAACTTGCACCAACTTGACTGGAATAAGAATGAAAGCTTTTTGGAGTAGAGATACAGTAGTCACAATAGTCCTATTTCAGTAGGGGAAATGGGGGGGAAGAAACCCACATTGATTTACTTTTTCTATGTCTTTTTTCTTTTCTTCAGTGTGTGGAGCAGCTGACCAGGATCCAGGCCGAACTGCAAGAGACAGTAAAAGATTTGGCAAAGGGGAAGAAGAAATACTTTGAAATGGAGCAGATGGCTCACGCCGTCCGTGAAAAGGCCGATATTGAGGCCAAGTATGTTCCAGCCTGTCCACAATTTCTGCATGTAAATTGATTTAAACAGCTTTATGCAATGCTTCTTGCTTGACCATTTGTGGTCTTGTCCAAGCTGATACATAGGCACGTCCCTTGTCACCTGTAGAAATATCTCTAGGTTACCATGAAAAAAATATTCTCTTTTTTGTCAGTGCTGTTGCCAGGGATCTCCCAAAATATGAATGCAAGCCCTTTAAAAAGAACCTCTCTAAATGTAATATCCATTCTACGAATCTACTGATTTTATTTTTTGCATTATTTTCTCCTACAGGTCTAAACTTAGTCTTTTTCAGTCAAGGATAAGCTTACAGAAGGCAAGTGTAAAGGTGAGTTTAAATATAAGTTGCAGAGTGTATGTTTCTGTCTAGGGAATAAGTCACAGATGTCCAGGAAGTAGAGTCTCACAAAACTAGGCAAACTATGACTGGAGCAGCTTTATTTCCCAGTTTTAACTTTATTTTGCCAAATTTGGTCCAGTGAATGAAAATACATCCTTTATATCAGATATTTACATTACGATTCACAACCATTGCAAAATTACAGTTATGAAGTAGCAACAAAAATAATGTTATGGTTGGGGGTCACCACAACATGAGGAAATCTATTAAGGGGTCGCGGCATTAGGAAGGTTGAGAAACACTGATCTATGTTGTCCTGCAGCCTGACTGGAGGAAGTTGTCCACAAAGTCACACTGGAAGGAGAGTCTTAGAACATTTTAAAGGAAACCCACGAATAATCGAATCTGCAAAAGTCAAATCTGCAAATGCAGAGGGAGGACTGTAGTACATTTTGAGCTAAACATTTTTTTTTAATTTTGTGAGCCATCATGTGTTGCTTGGTGGAAGAAAGGCAGAGTAAATTGAATGAACGAATAAATGAATGAATACGTAAATATAATCAAACTTCTCCTACATTAAATATTGATCATTTTCTTACCATGTAATTTTCTATTTTGTTGCAGTTAAAAGCACGGCGCTCTGAGTGTAATTCCAAAGCTACTCATGCGAGGAACGACTACCTTCTCACTTTAGCAGCCGCGAATGCGCACCAAGATCGCTATTATCAGACGGACTTAGTAAACATTATGAAGGTAACGGCATACAGCGTTGGCTGGAAAACTTTCCTTTTCCCCACTGTGCTCAGTCTTCTTCTGTAAGATATGTTTCAGATAATATGGCAAATCATTGCTTTGCTCTAAGAAGGTTTATGCTGCGTGTAAAGAGATTCAGATCAATCTTAGGAGGCCTTTTGTTTAATGGTGCATGCCAACTTCATGCGCCAGAAAAGATGCAATTACGCAATTCCCACAACGAGAGAATGCATAGCAGAGGTAGAGACCGTTGGTCACTTTATGCATTTAAACATACCAGGTCGTGTTTATGCAAACTGGGCTTTGATGATTGCAATGATTCCTTTAAAAGTCGTGTGCAGCCAGCCAGCAAATCAGAGAAAGAAGCTGTTGTTTGAAATCTATTTGCAAACTATGGTTTGTACAGACATTCTGTTTTCACAGAAAAAATCCCACATGTTTACACCCATTGCATTGTCTCCAGAGGCTGCTTTACCATGGAAATACGAGTGAACTTCTGAATTTGACTGCAGAAATGATTGGAAACAAAAATTAGCAAGTCTGAATCGCAATTTGTCTATTGAACATTTGATAACAGACCATGATTAGTATTCTAAACCTGTGGTTGATACATACCTCTGTTTGATATGGAACATGACATACTACCTAATGTTGAACTCCTGCGCATAGAATATTCTAAATGAGGAACCGCACAATTAATTTTTCTAACCCAAAGAGACCTTGGATTTGTGTTTATATATTTTAAAAATCCCACCATCTTCTCAAATCACATTTCAATCCAAGAGTTTGCTGCAGAACAAAAGAAAACTATCTAGTGTCTAGAGTGTTGAACGCACAAAAAACTTATGAAGTACCTTTCTGGATCCTAGTCTGTTAGAGGAGAAGGTAAAAGGATAAGGTAAATATGAAGGTTTCCCCTTGACATTATGTCTAGTCATGTCTGACTCTGAGGGTCGGTGCTCATCTCCCATTTCTGAGCTGAAGAGCCAGCATTGTCCATCGACGCCTCCAAGGTTATGTGGCCAGCATGACTGCATGGAGCGTCATCACCTTCCCTTCAGTGTGGGCCCTATTCCGACCAGAGTGGGACTTACTCACATTTGCATATTTTCGAACTGCTAGGTTGGCAGAAGTTGGGCCTAACATAGGGCGCTCATCCCTCTCTCCGGATTCGAACCGCCAACCTTTTGGTCAGCAAGTTCAGCTGTTCATATATTTTTTACATAATTTTTATTTATTTATTTATTTATTTATTTGCTATATTTGTATACCACCCTTCTCAGCCCTCATGCGACTCATTTACTCTGACTGAGGTTTTTCTGCAAAAAGTACCAGTCACGACAGTGGACTTCATCTTACCTTTCTCAGACCAATGGAATAGTTTCTGCAGTTGGAGCATCTGCCGCATTCTGCCCTTATTTTAAAAGTGAAAAAGGAACTCAAACTCTTAGAATCATTATTCATTTTCCCCCGAAGTATAAGGCTATTCTCTCAGTCAGAATCCTTGCCCTTTCCTGTGCATTTATTTCATATTAAAAGCATTGCATGAATTAGTATAAATATCTTTTGACCGAAAACAGGCAACAGCAACGGCATTGTCTGTAGCCTCCAACAATTCTTTTTCAGTGCATGAGGCAGAGCATTGTGGACAAGTACACAAGTGCCGAGTGGTTTGTTCTGCTCCACAGTAGCAGAATGTGGAGGATTTTAATACGTAGTGCCATTTCGCTAGGTTGTCTTTTGATCTGGCCACTCTGCTTCTGAGTCTGTTCAGGGACTTCCATGTTGCCCATTCTTGGTTTGCCCCTGAAGGAAGATCCTCGGGTGGCGGGGGGTGGGATCCAATTGGGATTTCCTGGTTTAGCTGTCCAGAGGGAGACTCTTGCTGTTGCTGGAGGGAATGCCAAGAGGAGTGGTGCTTCTCATGAAGCTTTCCCTTGATTTGAGTCTACTGGGAGGAGGCTGATAGCCATGCAGTGGGTGGCTTTCACAGTGTTCCATCTTACTTCTCTCACAATTGGCAGCAACTTCCCATCGCTCATCAGGGGAGGGCAAAGCCAGCTAGCTTATAGAGTTTATTATTTATTTATTTATTATTTAGTATATTTATATACCGCCTTTCTCACCCCTGGGGGACTCGAGGCAGTTTACAACATATTAATGGCAAGAATTCAATGCCAACATACATATAATAAAATCAAATCACAATAACTAAACGCTGGCATATAACTATAAAATCATTAGAACCATTAAACATAGGCATATACCACATGGTAACACTAAGACAAAGCATTAAAACATCCTATTATAAATATTCAAATCACATGATCCAAAATATAAAAGACCTGAACTGGAAATGTTGCATATTAACTTGGATATTGTGCAGCAGAATAAATAACCATGTTTGTCTGGGAACCGTGCCCCCTTCCACCAGGCCATTCCTGATTATTTTCCCACTGTAGGGTCATTTCTACTCCAAATCTTTTTTGCTTCAAAAGGTCATTAGGAGATATAGAGGACTTTGATACAACGTTTGGAGCTCCCTCCAAATCAGTGTTTCTCAATCTTGCTAATGCCGCGGCCCCTTTATACCGTTCCTCATGTTGTGGTGACCCCCAACTATAAAATTATTGTCGTTACTACTTTAATAACTGTAATACTGTTATGAATCGTAATGTAACTATCTGATATGCAGGATGTATTTTCATTCTCTGGACTAAATTTGGCACAAATACCCAATATGCCCAAATTTAAATAATGGTACGGTGGGGTGGGAGGTTGATTTTGTCATTTGTAGTTGCTGGGATTTATGGTTCACCGGCAATCAAAGAGCATTATGAACTCCACCAACAATGGAATTGAAGCAATCTTGCCACACAGAACTRCCAAKTACCGACAGAAAAGACTGGAAGAGTTTGGTGGGCATTGACCTTGAGTTTTGGAGTTGTAGTTCAGCTACATCCAGAGAGCACTGTGGACTCAAACAATTATGGATCTGGACCAAACTTGGCATGAAAACTCYATATGCCCATATGTGAACGCTGGTGGAGTTTGGGGAGAATAAACCTTGACATTTGGGAGTTGTAGTTGCTGGGATTTATAGTTCACCTACAATCAAAGAGCAATCTGAACTCCACCAACGATAGAATTGGGCCAAACTTCCCACATGTAACCCCCATGAGCAACAGAAAATACTGTGTTTCCTGATGGTCTTRGGCGACCCCTCTGATACCCCCTCGCAACCCCTCCAGGGGTCCCAACCCTCAGGTTGAGAAACGCTGCTCCAAATTATCCAAAATACCCTCCAACGGCTATAAGTGTAGGTTTGAGACATCCTGTGATTATTCTGCATGTTTCGGTCGTTTACCTGCTTTGCATGGGCAGACTTGTGCAGCAGGCAAAAACCTCACAACTTCTGAGGGTGCCTGTTATAGATGTGGGTGAAACATCAGGAGAGAATACTTCTGGAACTTGGCCATACAGTCTGGAAAACTCACAACAACCCAGGGCAGGCATACTTGGCGGTTGAGTAAGACAGGGCCAGGGCTGATGTTCCACTAAATTCTGGAATTCCAAAGGAATTGTGAGCAATGCGTGTGCATGTCAAAGGGGCAGGCACCGGAGGCACTTCGGCTCTTGAGGGGGAAACATGAGGACTGGAATGAGCCCTCTTTAAACCCCCAGACAGACAGCTGGGCCATGTACTTTCAAAAATGCTGTTTTAATTATTAATACAATCTGGGGAGATGATCCAAAAATCAATTTAATGTCACTTTTCTTGGAGAAGAGCCATGCTGCTTAAATAATTCACCATCACTGCCCCAAAATTACAGCAGGATAAGACAGCCCTTGGCTCATGATACCATGATGCAATTTAGTTTTGTCGTATATATGTTGAAAAATGAGAACATGAATGGAGCTACAAGACACACGCAGATCCAGTGCTGCTAGGATGAGTAACTTTATACACAGGATGAGCTTTCAGGAGGCTCTGATTTGCAGGGTTCTTAAATCAGGACAAAGATGACATTTTCTTTATTCCCCCCTGTGCTTTCTTCTTTCATTTGCAGTCAATTATTATAGACATTGTGCACAAAACACATTAAAGCATGGGGGTGGGGTGGATAAGTGATTTCATTCAAGAAAATGCTCTCAGAGCAAAAAACTAAACGTTGGAAGCAAGGTTGTTTGTACTCTATGCAAAAAGGTCCCAGTTTTGCCTCCCAGTTACTGCATGTAAATAAAGTATTCCTAAACCTGCTGGTTTAATTATACATTGAAATTATTTGATATGCGGAAGAGGAGCACAGATGAGCAGCAAGAATGCAAGTGGATCTGGATGAAATCCCTAGTCATGGTTGTCGGAACCCAGCTGCCTTACAGAGCCAGACACAGGAGTATATCCCAAACAATAGTTTATTGAAGCAAAGTAAACAGGACTCAGAGACACTTGCTTCAGTGCCTCTGGTCAAAACTCAAAGTTTGCAGCAATTTGCAGCTTGAAAAACAAACTTGGAAAATAAATCGGATTAAACTGGCAAAAAATCCGGAATAAATAAGAGAAACAGCAAGTCGCTTCTGGTGTGAGAGACCTGGCTGTCTGCAAGGACGTTGCCCAGGGGATGCCCAGATGATTTCATGTTTTTATCATCCTTGTGGGAGGCTTCTCTCGTGTCCCTGCATGAGGAGCTGGAGCTGATAGAGGGAGCTCATCCTCCTCTCCCTGGATTCGAACCTGCGACCTATCGGTCTTCAGTCCTGCCGGCACAGGGGTTTAACCCACTGCGCCACCGGGTTGTCTGGTGATTATGTGGAAAAGTGAATAGTGGTAGTTAAAGAGCACATTCTAAGGATTATTATTTCTGTATTTGATTTATTGAAATATTCCCATCCAAAACCAAGTAACAAAGGTGGAGGCATTACTTTTCATTCAACCCTCGTTGAATCTCTTTTTTCATATTGCATTTGATTCTAAGCCTCAAAAGAGACACATTTTGACT